ATCTGCTAAGGCACAAATCTGCCAATCACTAGGTTGGTGCACCGACGGCAGCCCGGATGGTGGGAAGGTGGGTTCCTGTGCCATACGGCTTCGGTAGTTGCAGACAAGGAGAGATCTTGGGGAGGGCTGCATGCTGGCGCGTTGGCCTCTAGGAGACTTCCAGATCGTGGTAGTACCACCTATGATCAAATATCCCCCCCACCCCCACCCCACCGTTCAGTCTCTACTGTACTTCTGAGGCCCACCACGCCGTGTCGCTGTGACAAAGCAATCGGACCCCAGGGCTCCTCTGAAGCCCTCTGTGGGTGGGTGTGTCTGTCCAGCGCAGGGAGAGCGGGTTCTGGCTAAGACTGGCCAGACCCCGCAGCCTAGCCCGGCAGATGCACCAGGAGGCACAGGACTGAGCAGCCTGGATGACCTCGGGACTCTGGACTCTGGGGAGAATTCATGAGGGCGAGGGGAAACAGGGATTTCCAGTCCTAGACTAAAGACCCCGCGGGACCACACACTGGAAAGGAGGTCAAATATACTCCTTGGGGCGGAGCAGTGGGGGGCCAGGTGGTAATCAATGTTTAGTGGAACGTGGTGACTCATGCCTGCAATACCAGCACTCTGGAGGCTGAGGCAGGAGGATAGTGAGCTCCAGGCCAGTCTGGGCTACAGAGAACGTTCCAGCTGGAGCTGCATAGCAAGAAACAGAACAAAAAAGTTAAGGAAAGAAGATGACATATTTATTTGCTGGCATAGGTTTTTGTTTTTTTAAAGTGCAAGCAGAGTGTGGTGGAACAATCCTGTAATCCAACCGCTTAGGAGGATGCTCAGACATTCAAGGCTAGACTCGAGTTTGAGGCCAGCCTAGGACACATGAAATGTTGTCTCCAAAACAAACAACAAAAACACGGTGCACTTACATAGATGCAGGAAAAACATCGGCACACATAATAGTTTTTAAAAGTAAATGAAATACTTTCAAAAGCATAGTGGTGAACATCCTTCCGGTAAAGAATTTGTATACATATACTGGTGAATTTCATAGAATGTATATATGGAAAACACACAAAAATCCTGGGCTTTAGTTTCCTTCAGGGTTAATCCAGGCTGGGTACACACCAGAGGTAGAAAAACTTTCATGCTTAATTTTGAGCCATTTGGGAAAAAAATCACCTTTCTGAAAAGTGAACTAAACTAAAATTATTAAATTGATAATTGTGGAGTACTTAAAATTAAGCTCACAGGGGCTAGAGAGATGGTTCCACAGCTGAGAGTGCTCACTACTCTTCCAGAGGACCCAGGTTCAGTTCCTAGCATTCATATCTTGTGGCTCACAATCACTTGTGGGTCCATATCCAGGGGGATCCCATGCCTCTGACCTCTGAGGACAACTGTACTTACATGCACACACCCACAAACAGACACACATATGTACACATGATTTGAAAATCATAAGAACAAAAAATTAGAATTAAGCTCACTTAGCCAGGGATGGTGGCATGTGTCTTTAACCCCAGTTCTCAGGAGGCAGAGTCAGGTGGATCTCTAAGTTTGAGGTCAGCCTAGTCTACAGAGTGAGTTCCAGGACAGCCAGGGCTACACAGAGAAACCCTGTCTCAAAACACCAAATAAAGTAAAATTAAGCTTACTTAAGAGCAGAGTGGGGTGACTTGGAGAGACAGAGATGAAGACTTCTGAAACTGGGCATAGGTCCTGGGGCCAGGGAGAGGAAATAGGACAAGGTGGAGTCAGAAGACTCCAACAGTAGGGACTTGGTTTGTGCTTTCAGGGGCTACAACATACACAGACATGACAAACTGAAGCATGGCTTGCCCCTGGTACCTTCCAGATGAATAAATATTTAATTAAATACTGACAGATGTCCAGCAGTCAAATGCTCCATAACCCAGAGACTATATGTAATATGTAATGTGAGTAGGTTTTGTTTGTTTTTTAATGTGTATATGGGTGTTTTCCCTGCATCAGGTACATGCAGTAGCCGTGGAGGCCAGAGAGGGCACTGGATCCCATGGGACTGGAGTTACAAACAGTTGTGCACTGCCATGTGGGTTCTGGGAATTGAACCTAGATCCTCTAAAGTAAAGCTAGTGTTCTTTACTGCGGAGCCTTCTCTCCAGTTCTGTAAGCATATTTTATTGTTTTGTTTTTGTTGTTGTGGTTGTTGTTTTGTTTTGTTTTTCCAAAACAGGGTTTCTCCGTGTAGTTTTGGTGCCTGTCCTGGATCTTGCTCTCTAGACCAGGCTGACCTCGAACTCACAGAGATCTACTTGGCTCTGCCTCCCGAGTTCTGGGATTAAAGGCATGCTCCACCGCCACCTGGCTCAGCATATTTTATTAGTAACACATTTGATGTATTGGGAGCAGGCTACCCAAAGGAGGTGAGGAGTAGAGACTGGCTATACTGGCCATACTCCCCGACATCCTCACAGCAAAGCCTGTCCCGGCCCAGGTGACAAGTCTGCACAGGGCAGGCAGAGAGTCACCGTGAGTAGCAAGAGGGAATGTGGAGAGCCAGGGGTGGGACAGCAGCAGCAAAGGAAAACCTGGCCACCATGATGGCCAGACCCCTTCCTAAGAGCACGCACAACAGTAGAGGGGTGCTGTAATATCCGGTTGGTACATGCCACAGCTGTGCAACAAACCTTCCTGTTAATATATCTAGAAGGGTTCAGTTCTAAGGTCAGATTTTTTCATGTATATTTCTGTATAGTGGAACAGAAACACCCTCCACAGACACACCCGGAATTGCGTCTCCTAGGTGACTCTCAATCATTACATTGACACTAAAGATTGGGCTGGGCAGATGTAGATCATCTGGCTATATTACCCAAGCTGTCCACAAACTCCCGGACTCATGTCCTCCTTCCCCAACACTCCACAATTATTTGGACCTTAGGTTTATGCCATGATGCCAGTCTTTGGTGTTTTTTTTTTTTATAGTTAGAACTTGGTATTGATATTTTGTGAAGATTTTATTTATTTTGATTGTATATTTGTGTTTTTGTCTGCACGTGTGTCTGTGCGCCACCTGTGTGCCTGGTGCCCACAAGAGAGCATCGGATCCCCTGGAACCAGAGTTACAGATAGTTGTAAGGCGCTGTGAGGGTGCTGGAAAGTGAACCCAGGTCCTCTACAAGAGCAGCAAATGTTCTTAACCGCTGAGCCATCTCTCCTGCCCCTTGACTTGTTTTAATTCACCATGTGAGTTCTGTTTTCTACAGCTTTCATCAGGATGGGAGGGTTGGTTATGGATAGGCAGCATCGACTTGGCAGGACTGAGAAGGGCTGGTCCATGCCAGTTAGAGGATGGCTCTCCCCTTTGGATAGTTACAGCTCTGTGGATTTGGTGGAACATAATTCACTCTTTGTGGGAAACCACATACCCTCAGTGACATTGGTGGCTACTGGCAGCCATCCCGTGACCATGAGAATATTCCTGAAGATAAAGCCAGTGGGAAGGAGAGAGATGGAGGACTTGAGTCTCTGGTGACCTTGATGAGCTTTGACCCATGATAAGGTGTCCAAGGAGGTCCTGCCTCTAGGCCTCCTGATCCGTAAGATAAGGGTCCCTAATGGGGAAGCCAGGTGTCATGTGAGGTTATTTGGAGACCATATCCCAGAATAGAGGAAGTGGTTCCTGATCACGCCTTTAGACCATTCCCTTCGCTTCCCCATCTCTTCATTCACCTGTACTTATTTCCAGAGTACTTCTATGTGCTGACCAACATGCTGAATACTGGACACAAAGACAACACGGCCAGAGTCATCTCTTCTTCGTACCCTGGACTCCCAGCTGCTGCGGACTGACAGCTCTACACACACTGATATGAAGCCAACTCCAATACATGCCATGGAAAATTTCAAATACAGAACAGGGTGAACTGTATACTGAATAAATAGATGAGAACACAGGTGTGCCTGTACCCACATAGAACATTTCTGGGTAAATGCCAGAGAAGTGGGTATTAAAGACCTGAGGATGTGTCTCACCTGGTAGTGTGCTTGCCCAGCATGTATAAAAGCCCTGAGTTTGATCCACTGCATGGCACTATAGGGGTCTCTGTCAACACGACAGCCAGCAAAGTGATGACTCATGAGAGACAAGAAGGCAGTTCCGTTCAATATGATCAGGAACCGGTGCTGGTTCAAACGTCAAGAGTCTGACCCTGAGTAGTTTGTTTTAGGCATATTTAAGCACAGCACGATTTGGTGAAAAGTTTTCTGGTTGTAATTAACCCAGCCTCTTGTGCACAACAAAGCTTAAGACATGGCTACATCAAAACTCTTCGTGAAGTACAAGAGACCTGCGACATCTTCCATAAAGATGGGTTCTATAGGTTAACTGAGAAAATAAGCTTAAGCTAAAGGTGCAGAGAGGATCCGGTGTGATCTTTTTCAGCCACAATAGCGTCAAAGGTCACCAGGCTATCAACCACGTCTGCTCCCAGCCTTCTGGGCTGAAAACGGGTTGTACGTCTCTCCCTTTTGAGAGACTACCCTGTGTGTTTAACATTCCTGGTTTCCCTAGTGCTTCTCTTGAGCACAAGAAATTCCGGGCCTCTTACATGGCACAAAACCAGGCATAGTGGAGCACACGTGAGACACCAGCACTCTGGAGGTGGAGGTGGGTGGGTCAGAAGTTCATGGCCATCTTCAGCTGTTTGTTGGGTTCAAGGCCAGCTTGGGCTAGAAGGAGGGAAGGAAGCAGAGAAAAGAAATGGACCTTCAAGGCTGCCTCTGTAGAGGGGAACAAAAGACAGGGAGGCTCAGAGAGGGAACTTGTTTGTCTGATTTTTGTCTTTGCAGTTTGAATAGTTTGCAATGTGCTTTAAAAAAAAAAAGTTGAAGCATCCTGAAAAAGCATTGAAGACACCTCGTTATCTTGACGTGATAAATTCAGGTTTCAAAATCGTAGGTACAATGCGACCCCTATTTTTGCAGAGAAAAGTGTGTGATGCATCTCCATACATAGAGGAATGTTGCATTCATTGGTATTTTCACTGCCGTTTATTCGACATTTTTCTGATAAAATACAAACAGTAGAAAAGGGCACAGACACCAAGGTCCATGTTCCCCTTCTCCGTTCTTTGAATCCTGTAGCCTGTGCTTAACTTATCACACGGAAAATGTCAACAGACATTGTGTCTGAGGTGGGGTACAGCAGGGTACAGCCTCTTTTTGTGACTTCCTGGGACTTCTCATTGCCATCTATGCACTTATATTACTATGAAGAGAAGAAAAATACATTTTATTTCTTTGTGTGTGCTGTATGCATGTGCATGTGTTCCTGGGTGTATTCATGTACACATTCAAGTGCACATTGAACACATGCATGTAGAAGCCAAAGGTCAAAGCCAAGTGTCTTTCTTGGTTACTCTCCACTTCATTTAGTTTTAATAATTTATTTGTTTTTATTTTATGTGCATTGGTGTTTTGTCTGCATGTATGTCTGTGTGAGGGTGTTAAATCTTGGAGTTACAGACAGTTGCTACCTGCCATGTGGGTCCTGGGAATTGAACTCAGGTCCTCTGGAAGAGCAGTTATTCTTAAGCACTGAGCCATACCTCCAGCCCAGCCCCTTGATTTTTTTGTTTGTTTGTTTGTTTTGTTTTTCAAGACAGGGTTTCTCTGTGTAGTTTTGGTGCCTGTCCTGGATTTCGCTCTGTAGACCAGGCTAGCCTCGAACTCACAGAGATCTGCCTGGCTCTGCCTCCCGAGTGCTTGGATTAAAGGCGTGTGCCACCACTGCCTGGCCCCTTGATTTTTTAAATTAATTTATTTTTATTTTATGGGTATGATAATTTCACCTTCATGTATGTAAATGCACTGTGAGCATGTCTGGTGCCCATAGAGATCAGAAACGGCCTCAGGTCCCTGGAACTGGAGTTACGGACATTGCCAGCTGCTATGTGGTTTGGGGACTAAGCTCAGGCAGGTCTGCTGTAAGAACAGCAGGTTAACAGCTGAGCCATCTCAGCAGGCTCCCTCTCCCCAACCCCAGTCCACCTCCATGAAATGGGGTCCCACTCTGTAGCTGAGGCTGGCCTAGCTGTTGCTATCTTCCTGTCTCAGTGCTGAGATACGAGGTGGGGTGTCACCATGCCTGACTCAAACACATTACATCGCTGTGAACTGAGACATGCTTTAAGATGCTTCTCAGTTCAACACAGGAGAAATAAGCTTCATGTGCTCCCTTCATGTGCATGTTATCACCCACTGCACCCCCCACCCCACTCAGTTTGGGAAGCAGATTGGGTGATAAGTCCACATTTCCAAATTATGGGAAAAGACTCCTGTACCACTCTGAACAAAATCCCCTTTCTCTCTGCCTGCTCTGGCCTCATGACCTCCACCCTCTGCCCACCAGCCTCCTTGGAGAGACAGGATGAGTGTCACAGAGAAACCTGTTGCCCTGCTGGGACTCAGAGGGACTCAGCCCAGGACCCATCCACTGCCTCCTTGCTCATCCAGAGCTGTCTGGAAATGGATCTGAACAAGGAGGAAGGACGGGAAGCACGCTAGTTCCCTTTCCCAGAGATCTTAGGTTAAAAACGCTGGCCTAGTTAAAACCGCACCTTAATGAGGCTTCTTTCTGGCCTAATTGTCACCATGGCAATGACCCCTGGTGGCCATCTTTAATTAACTTGGAATCAGAGTTGCCAAATGAGCTTCTCCAGTAAATTGCTCAGCAGCCCAGGCAGTCACGCGGCCCCTCCTCTGTCCTCTGCCCTCTCTGCTCCTGCACATCGAGGATGATGAGGCAAGAAATTCTCAGCCTGGCTTTTCTCTCCACCCTCTGGACTTGCCCGCCATGGCCGGGGGGGGGGGGGGGGGAGCTCAGACCTGGAGCAGTGGGAACAGTAGTGATAATAGCTTCACAATGCCAACTCGGTCATACACATTATCCCCTTCAGTCTTCACAGCGATGCTAGCCAGGGTGGACACATTGTTACAACCCATCGCCTTTCCCTGATAAGGAAACACAGGCACGGAGAGAGAGTAAGTCAGTAGTAGCTGGCAGAGTTGAGATTACACCCAGGCAGTCAGGTTCCAGGACCAGCACCACAATGCCTCTGGTGGAGATGAAGTCCGTGGGCTCACCGTGTATGTTTCTTTGGAGCTGGAGTTGTGACTTTCCAGCTGTGCGACCTTGGGTCGCTCACTCCACATCTGTGACGTGTTTCCTCACTTGAAACAAGGAGTGTAAAGCACGCCAGGGGGGTGGGCAAAGACCCGAGCGGTAGTTCCATTGCCACCAGAGCCTCCCGGCCGTCTTCACCATGATGTGGTTCTGGAAGCAAGAAGATACGGAGGTCTAGATAAGAAATACCACCGCAGACAACCTTGACTCCGCAGTTCCTCTCACGATCCTCCTCCAATCCCTTGGCAAATCTTTGTGTTTGCTCTTCAAGACAGGGTTGCTCTGCGTAGCCCTGGCTTCCTAGAACTCACTCTGTAGACCAGACTTGGCTTGAACTGCAAGAGCTGCCTGCCGCTACCTCCCGAGTGCTGGGATTAAAGGCGAGTGCCGCCACCACTGCCACCCGGCTTCCTTGTAAAAATCTTAATGGCCTTCTCTTCAAAATACACCAGAATGGGGCCAGGGCTCATCAGTGGCTCCATCCCGACAGGCGAGAGGAGGCAGGCACCAGATATTGATAGAAATCAGAAGGGGTCTCCTGACTGCAGCAAGGACTTTGTTTTATCGGGAATGATATGAAGACTACAGATGGATTTTAGGTGCCCCTTGAAAAGGCCACTCTAGCTGGGCGTGGTGACTCATACCTGTAAGCCAAGCACTTGTAAGGCACAAGCAAGGGGACTGCAGATTCTAAGTTATCTCAGACTACACAGGAAGTACCGGGCCAGCCTGGACTACAAACTGAGACTTGGTCTCAAAAAAGGAAAAGAGAAAAGGAGAGAGAGAGAGAGAGAGAGAGAGAGAGAGAGAGAGAGAGAGAGAGAAGAGGATATAGGGGAAGAAGGAGCCACTCCAGTGCTGATGGTGTGGCTCAGTGATACAATGCTCGCCTGGCTTGTGCATCTGGAGAGGGGACAAGCGTGAGCACATGCACATTGGGCAAAGCATGGCTCTCCTGCAATCCCAGCTATTGGAAGGTAGAGGCAGTAGAATCAGGAGCTCAAGACCAGCCTCAGCCTGAGTTACATGAGGCCATGTCTTAAAAAAAAAAAAAAAGGAGAGGGACTGGAGAGACGTTCCGTGGTTGAGGGTACTGGCTGATCTTCCAGAAAAACGGGGGTTTGATTCCTAACACCTACATGGTGGCTCACAACCGTTTGTAATTCCAGTTCCAGAGGATTCAATGCCCTCATCTGGCCCTCCTTGTGCACTAGACATACATGCAAGCCAAATATTCTATATATTATATATATAATGTATATAATTAAACATCCAGGCACGGTGGTGCATGCCTTTAATCTCAGCACTCAGGAGGCCGAGGCAGGCAGATCTCTGAGTTCAAGGCCAGCTTACAGAGGGAGTTCCAGGACAGCCAGGACTACACAGAGAAACTCCGTTTCAGAAAAAAAAAAAAACCCAAAAGATAAAAAGAAGTGATTTTTTTGTTTGTTTTTGTTTTTTGTTTTTTTTGAGATAGGGTTTCTCTGTGTAGCTTTGGAGCCTGTCCTGGATCTCACTTGGTAGCCCAGGCTGGCCTCGAACTCATAGAGATCCGCCTGGCTCTGCCTCCTGAGTGCTGGGATTAAAGGCTTGCGCCACCACTGCCCGGCTAAAAATAATTTTTTTTAATTAAAAATCAATAAAGAGGGAGAAGGAGGAAAATCTTTCTGAGTGCTGACTGGGGAAAGGTTGGAAGGAACAACTGGAAGCAGTGAGACCCATTAGGTGGCTGCCGGGATTTGTTGCCAGACAATAAATAACAAAAAATGTGAGTCATTTAGCTGTGTCTCTAAGTAGGAAGGAGGGCGGCGGCTGAGCCACAGACCCGCCTGTAGGTGACCGGCAGTGGGGGCCTGAGTTTCAGCACCACTAAAAGAACAGCTCTCGACCGCTAGGCGAGCACAGTTCTGTGAACCGGACTGATCAAGCTTTCCACGTCCAAGAGCAGGGCATCCTGGGGGATGAGCCTGGGCATCCTCCTTCTGGGAATATCTCACCTTTGAAAACCGTTTGCTGCCTTCGAAAGGGAAGAAAACTACTGCGCGCAGCCTCCGAAGGCCTCTGGGAACCCACACAAGCTCCACACCTTGGGAATCCGGCATGCGGCATGCGGTGGGGTCGGGGAGGGCACAGGTCAAGGCCTCTGAACTAGATCTTTCACTCCCGAGGCTGGAGAATTAAAAACGAAGCCAACTCTGCAACGGGCTGCGGGAAGGGATGAGTGACAGAGTGCTTGGCCAGCTCTAACCACAGGGCTTTCTGCCCTGCAGCTCTGTGCAGCAGGTCTTCCAGAGAACAGGGTAGTCTCGTTGACCCACACACCTGTGGCCACATCCTCCCTCCAGGACAGTTGTGCCTCTGTGGGATGCCATCCAGGAGCCCCTTTGCCCTTTGCCTCCCCTGCACGCAGCCTAGTTCTGATGAGATTCTATCTCTGGTGATCAACATGATTCCTTTTCCAAGTTTGGATGGTGCCACTGGGGCTCCCTGGAACTGAAGAGCCCACTTAGGTTCTTCTCTGGAACCTTCTCTATCGACGTGCTGAGAGCAAGGTTTTAAGACCTGAAGGGTTTCCAGATTCCATACTCAGAAGTGACCTCCAGATTCCCAGTCTTTCAGCTTCCCTGTGGAGAGAGAAAAGAGAGCAAGAGTGAGACCCCCACTTTAGCCATTCCCTTCAAGTCGCCTCTAGGAACCCTCCTTGAATAATGCTTGTGCCACAGTGCTAAGCCTGCTGGAAACCAAGAGTTCTCCGCCAATGTCCAGGTTCACACTGACTCCCTGGCCAGCACACTGACTCCCTGGCTAGCACACTGACTGACTCCCTGGCCAGTACACTGACTCCCTGGCCAGCACACTGACTGACTCCCTGGCCAGCACACTGACTGACTCCCTGGCCAGCACACTGACTGACTCCCTGGCCAGCACACTGACTCCCTGGCCAGCACACTGACTGACTCCCTGGCCAGCACACTGACTGACTCCCTGGCCAGCACACTGACTGACTCCCTGGCCAGCACACTGACTGACTCCCTGGCCAGCACACTGACTCCCTGGCCAGCACACTGACTGACTCCCTGGCCAGCACACTGACTCCCTGGCCAGCACACTGACCGACTCCCTGGCCAGTACACTGACTGACTCCCTGGCCAGCACACTGACTCCCTGGCCAGCACACTGACCGACTCCCTGGCCAGCACACTGACTCCCTGGCCAGCACACTGACTCCCTGGCCAGCACACTGACTGACTCCCTGGCCAGCACACTGACTCCCTGGCCAGCACACTGACTCCCTGGCCAGCACACTGACTCCCTGGCCAGCACACTGACTCCCTGGCCAGCACACTGACCGACTCCCTGGCCAGTACACTGACCGACTCCCTGGCCAGCACACTGACTGACTCCCTGGCCAGCACACTGACCGACTCCCTGGCCAGCACACTGACTCCCTGGCCAGCACACTGACTGACTCCCTGGCCAGCACACTGACTGACTCCCTGGCCAGCACACTGACTCCCTGGCCAGCACACTGACTGACTCCCTGGCCAGCACACTGACTGACTCCCTGGCCAGCATGTTGACTGGCTCCCTAGCCAGGACGTCCTCTCCATTTCCCTGGTGCTTTCTGCACCGGGCTGGGTGCTGGTACTCACTCACTTGGTCCTCAGAAGTCCCTGAAATGGATCCGGTCCCCACTTTGTAACTACCCTACCCTTACGGGACAGTGGGTGAGTACACAAATGAGGTTGTACCCGGGCCCAGGTTTCTTGGTGTGACTGTGAAGCCACGAGGCCTCTAATGAAACTTTCTCTCTTACCTCCATCACTCCGTGAAGACAATTTCCACTTTGACGATCTCAGTCTTACTTTTTCTACTTCTGAAATAGGGGACAACCAAGTCCCTCCAAGGAGGGAACCAGAAATGAGCCACCGATCCCAGAGCCAGACAAGAGGCTCTCTTGGGGACAGTTTACCCAAGGAGACACCTAGAAGAATCTTTTTTCCAGCCCCCAGGCAAGCTATTTCTCAGAAACTTTCTGGACCCTCTGACTTCTGCTGAGCCCCAAGCAACCATTCCTTGTGGGCTGTTCGATCACACTGTGAACCCTGGGTTTGCATTTGCATTAATTAAATAAAATCATTCTTGGGTCAGGAGGTGGAGCCAGCAACTAGTTGACAGAAAGTCATCATAGGGAGTCAGAGGGAGTCGAGAAGATGGATAGAGAGATGCATAGGAAGCAGGTGGGAGGGACTTTGAGTGTGGCGGTCTCTTTTGGTTTGGTGGAGTGGAAGGACACACTCTATCTGGAAGCCGGGCCAGCTGATTGCTCCTCAGCCTGTCTGAGCTGGCAGGTTTTCACTCCAGTCTCTGACTCCCGAGTCTTATTGACAAATAGAATGATAAAGATTTAGTTAGGAACCTTTGGTGGGAGAGGCAGGAGGCGGATCCTGCCCGGTCACTGCCTGAGAAGTGGGCGGGTGACTGAGGAGCTGCGGTTACTGGCTGAGACAGCAGCAGATTCAGGTATGGCCACTGTGCCCTGAGACAGCAGCAGATTCAGGTATGGCCACTGTGCCGGCGGAAAAACAATTTCTCATCTGAAAAATAGGCAATCCCACTTTACCACTGGGAAAAGTGAGGCCTGGAAGCCAACTGTCCTACTTTTCTCCGTTTCCCTAAACCGAGACCCCCGGTGAGGGACCTCAGCCTTCAGCCAGTCACCATAGATGTCCCTTGTCACCCCTAGGAACTGCTGTTGTTGGTGTTACCACACATAGGCCAGACTGGCCTGGAACTCCTGTCTCAGCTTTTACGAATGCTGGGGTTTACAGGCTTTGTACCACCATGCCTGGTTGGTCTCAGAAACTAATTCTAAAGAGGTCTAGGGAACTACCAACGACTTTTACTCACGGCCCCAGGAACAAGAATGTCCATCCCCCAACCCCCTTCTTCCAGACATTGGCTTCTTCACCCGAGCACCAGGAGAATGAGACTTCTCTGGTGAGGGAGGATTAAATAAAAGAAAATTCCAGCAATGCTCCCACCACGGTGTCCAGACAGCCTTCCACAAGGAGTCTGCATCTCCCAACTGGCTGGTATTTTGGCTCAATGGGTAGAAGAGGTTAAATAACCCAGCTGGAAATGCGGAGTGTGGGGACTCCAACCCACATATGCTTGAGCATCTGAGAGGGCAGGAGCCAGGCTCTGGATCCTGCTGGACAGAAGTACCAGAAGGGGCATTGAGAGGGACGAGGTCTGGGGAGAGTTTCCACGGTGTTACAGCAGGAGACCCTGTATTCGGTGACCCCTCCACCTGCGCACACCGGAAGTCAAGCAAAGGAGTCCCTTTGGACTGTCTCCCTCCCAGATCCAGATGCCAGACCGCACCCTGCCTAGGGCATGCCTGTCTGCTCTGGAGCCAGGAAAAAAAAAAAAAAAAAAAAAGTCTGCCATCTTTGCCCTTCCACGTCTTTCTAATTCTGGCATTTTTAGAAACCGGGAGGCAACTGATTTTTAATTAGCTGAAATGATGGACTGTCAGGGGCTCCAGCATTTAAAAATATCTGTGAAAACAACTCTTACGTGCACACATAGCTGCCCTCATTTTAGCAGATATACATACCAGGGTCCTGGATTAGCTCGTCTTTCCGCTCTCCACCTGCCAGCTCAAGGTAGTGGACAAGAAAATCTGGCGTGGCAAAAAGTAGAATCCGGAATGACACCCACCGTCAAGGCCACATCCCACGTGGCAGCCCTGCCATTGCCAGAGTTGGGACTGTGCAGGGGTGTGTAAGGGAGGGGGGCTGGGTGCAGTTTTCACCTCCACGCTGCAGCGTGTGGGGACAGTTGTGCCGCGCCTCCATCCAGCAGTGAGGGGTAGCAGTGGGTGCCTGCTCTGAGCCGACACTGGGACACTACAAAGAGACTGTGCCCTCCGCTAAGTGCAGGTCATCACCAACTCCATAGGGTGGCCTGGGGACTGTCTTCAGCTTTGAACTTGCAGCTGCCCAGGCTTCTGCAGCACCCAAAGCCAGGCCGCGCTGCAGGGAAAGGGCCCTTGAGCTAGGGAAGTCTGGCTTCTACATTTATCCTAGGGCATCGTGCTTTGTCACCGGAGCCCCCAACTTCCCTGCCTTCCTTCAGATACACTGCACACAGTAGGTGGTGGGTCACGTGTAATTTTCTGGGTCCCTTCCTGGCTCCTGCGTGCTCCGGCGCCTTGGGCTCCCCCTGCTGGCTCCCGCGGTAACAACCTGAGCCAATGCAGAAAGCTTGTTCGTGTCTCTCTCTCTCTCTCTCTCTCTCTCTCTCTCTCTCTCTCTCTCTCTCTCTCTCTCTCTCTCTCTCTCTCTCTCTCTCTCTCTCTGTCTCTCTCTCTCTCTGTCTCTCTCTCTCCCTCTCTCTGTCCCCCTCTCTCTCCTCTCCTTCCCCCCTCCCTCTCTCCCTTTCCCTCTCTCTCCCTCTCTCTTTCTCTCTCCCTTCCTTCCCTTACTTTTTTCTTTCTCTTTCTTTCTTCTTCCTTATCATCATCATCATCATCATCATCATCATCATCATCATCATCATCACCATCTATTATATTCTAGTAATATGACCCAGAACATCATCATCATCATCATCATCATCATCATCATCATCATCATCATCTGTTATACTCTAGTAATATGACCCAGAGCACCACACATGTCAGGCAGGTGCTCTACAGCAGAGTTATGCCCCATCCCTGAAATCATGTTTTAACTTCAAGGGATTCTCTGCCTCTAATTTTCTCCCCTACCCAACCCCGGACTCTGACCAAGTAACCCATGAGAGGCTGCCAAGATGCTATTTTCACATGACCTTATTCTGAAGTCAAAGGCTAAAATTAAAAGGTGCTCTGATGTACCCAATACATACTCACTGAGAACTCTAGTATTAAGCACCATGGCTAACCCTAATTGAGCACTTGCTGTGTATGAGACATTGATGGACTCTGGATATCAGCACATTTAACCCTCACAACCATCACATTGGGGTGGGACTGTTATCATCCCCACTTTAAAACTGAAGACATCCAGGCCCTAAAAATCAGTACCCAGGGCCACATAAAACTGGGAAATGTTTTAAACCTGGGTAATTCCCAGAGCCAAGGCCCCCAACCCCTATATTATAGCAAGGAACATTGGGACAAAAACAAAAAAAGAAGCCAGGCAGTGGTGGCCCACGCCTTTAATCCCAGCACTCAGGAGGCAGAGCCAGGTGGATCTCTGTGAGTTCGAGGCCACCCTGGTCCACAGAGTGAGTTCTAGGACAGCCAGGGCTACACAGAGAAACCCCATCTCAAAATAAATAAATAAACACACAAACAAGAGCTGGGCATGGTGGTGCATGCCTACGTGTAACCCCAACACTCGAGAGACGGATTGCTGCAGGAGAATGGCCTGCAGGTTTGAGAGAGGCTTGGTCTACACAGCAAGTTCCAGGTCAACCAGGGCTATACAAGCATTCAATTAAATTAAATAATTAAAAAGCACAGGATTGGAGAGATGGCTCAGAGGATCAGAGCACTGGCTGCTCTTCCAGAGGACCCAGGTTCAATTCCCAGCATCCACATGGCAGCTCACAGCTGTCTGCAACTCCAATTCTAGGGGGTCCAACACCCTCACACAGACATACATGCAGGCAAGACATCAATGCACTAAAAATAGATAAAATTTTAAAAATAATAGAGAACCTATTAGAAGTTACCTCCAAATGCCCCTTAATCTCTAAATAACCATTTGTAAATTCTTTCTACAAAGAGAAAGAGAGGAGTGTTTTGCTCAAATAGAGATGCTGGGGTTTCAGTGATCATTTGTGCCACCAGCTGTTACAGCATGATAAGGTCACCCACATTTCCAAGAGAAGATAAGGTTTAAAAAACTTGCAAATGGGAGATGGAGAGGAGGAGGCTCCGTGGTTAAAAGTGCATAGTACTCTTATTGAGGGCCTGTCCAGTGTCTCACAACCACCTGTAAGGAGATCTTACAGGTTAGCCTGGAACTCACGATGTAGTCCCAGGGGATCTGCCATCCTCTTCTGACCTCTGCATTCTGCAGCTTGGCAGCTGCATTCATACGCACACACCCCCACACAAACACAGGCACATAGTTCAAAACCAAAATTAAAAATAAACACGCCATTGGCTGCATTTGAGAACTGACTCACTTCTCTTCGATGCTTTCTGCCAAAGCAGGGTCATCAGCCTCATCTTTGGTCTTGGGGACTCCAGCAGGCTGCCCTCACCACGGTCCTGCATATAGCTCTGACTTGGACTAAAAGTGCTGCGTCGTGGGTCCCCTGTGAGAAAGGGCGCCCCTGTGAGAAACCCATGGCCATACGCATGAAGTCTTAGAGTGGAGAGAAGCTCGGAGAACAGTTAATCCACTCTCTGTCACACGGGAACTTCCCAGGTACCACACTTGTGAGCAGGACAGGGGATATTAAAAGGGCCACTCCAGGCTCTCATGCCGACATTCCGGTATGGAAGCCAGAGATGCATTATATGACTTTTCTCCGGGCCCCGGCTGTTCTTGGTACCTTATACCATAACTGTGCATTAACAGCGTGCACTACTCACCACCGTATTCCAAGCCCTGTGCGTGGGATCTGACACAGATTAGAAGCTGAATTCACTGATACATGCCCTCCACAGCATCTGTGGCTTGTGATCACTCCTTCTTCTTTTTTTAAATCCTCACAGAAATGGGGCATTTATTGCTCCTCTCTGGAACTGCTTCTCCTGGGTGCCACTTAGAAACCTGGGTTTGTCAGAATAAAGAGCACCCTCTGAGCTTCTCCTGTGGAAAAGTTACTGACTGGCCATACAGCTTCATGCCTGCTGTTTGCTCTTAAAGTCTAACCCAGTGGAAACGCCCCCCAAAAGAGGTTTCCTCTTCCCAAAGGCGTGGGAGATCTGAGGTCCAGAGAAGAACCCAACCCACCTAATATATATACATTAGGTATTCTTGAATGTCAATCGTGAGGCTTACCCTAGAAACGTAACAGCATTTGGTTCCATAGCATTCCATAGTATTTTCCTGTGTCAGTATGAGCAGACAATGTACACAAATCCACACACGGATGTGCATGTCAATCTGTATTTAAACACAGGCTAACCATAGGTTTAGGAAGGAGGCCAGAAGTAAGTCTGTATCCTTGGGAGGAAAGGATGGAATTACCTCAGGGCACATGAACTGGTTAATGCCCCATTGCCACAGAAGATCTGGGTGTGCATGTGTGAGTATGTGTGTGTGTGTGTGTGTGTGTGTGTGTGTGTGTGTGTGTGTGTGTGCGCGCGCACAGACAAGACACAGCGCAATTTGGTTCTATGTCTGGAGGACAGTGCACGTGACATGTATGTACATTTACTACTCTTTTCCAACCTGGCTTGTGACAATGTGGTCCTGTTCTGAGCATGCATGTGTCCATATATGCATGCATATGCGTGTTATTTACAATATAATCCTAAGCCTTATGAAAGTAACTGTTTTCGATATGTGTATTTGTGTGTTTAAATGTACAGTCATTTCTAAGTGAGATCCAGGTGGCTGTATAGTTACATGTGCACTCTTGCTTACTACCATACCCACAACCCCATGAGTATATACGGGTCCTCTGCCACAAAGGCTGAGCCAAGCAGGTCCTGGGGCTGGCGAAGCACCTGGGGAAAACCCTGACGAACCTTTGTCTGGAGCCCACTCCCTGTGGCCTCTAAATTTCTGCTCCTGGCAGGATCTCAGATGTCCCTGGTCACAGACTACCTTCCCCAAGGAGTCCCTTTAACTCACAGTCCCTTTTCCATCCAGGGGGCTGAGAGTTGGGGGATATTCATCTCGGGGAGTTTTTGTTCCGCCTCATGAAAGGCCTCAATGGCTGGGAATACCATTCTAATTACGGGGAAGCCCAGCTTATGTGGGGGATACAAAGGGCTGTGGTCTCATAGCAGCTCCTTCCATCCGTCAAATAAGGCTGTCTAATGACGGGGTGAGAGCTCTGAATGCCTAAAACAAACTCAAAAAGGAGGGAAAATAAAGCCGCCGGGGGCTTAAAATATATTAAATTACCCTGAGTAGGAGCCGTGGCTTTGCAAGCACTGGTTCGAGAGGCTGTCCAGGCCGTGAGTCCTGCTATTCACGTGGGGGGACAGGGGTCAGCAGGTCGGTGGGGAGGGGCTCACAGAGCCCTAGCTCATTCTCATGCTAACATCAGGGACATGCTGCAGGCTTACTGGGCTGGAAAACAGAAATGAATTTGCCATAATCCTCCTCCTCCTTCTGCAGACCAGAAGCTTTGCCTAATTGCAACCCTCGGAGCCTGCTGGGCTTTGGGACACAGCCACACCCTGGAGCCAGCACCCCACGACCCTCCCAACCTCTCTTTGGGGCTCAGGGATGAGTGTGCTCCAGGGCTCATCTGAAGGAGCAGGGAAAACAGAGAGTAGGGGTCGGTGGGCAGTAGAGGACAAGGTATAGAAATGTGTCACACCCACCACACCCACTGTCTGAAGAAATAGTTATTCCCAAGTCACAGCCATCCCTTTACACATGAACACACTACCCAGACACACAGATCCCTTTATTCTTCTACACCCTTTACACATAGCACTCCACAAATGCACACTTTCATAGGCACAAATACATCTTCATACATATACAGACACATGTACCCTCCCATAAGCAAACGCAGCACACACACACACACACACACACACACACACACACACACACACACACATTTTTCTCCTTCCCTCTTCACTTTTGATGGGGTCTCAGCATGTAGCCCAGGTTAGCCTGGAACTCACTATGTAGTCCAGGCTGGCCTTAAATTCACAATTCTCCTTCTTCAGTCTCTGGAGTAGTAGTATTACAGGTGTTAGCCACCAAATAAGGTACCCAGAGTCCTTTATAGACGTTCAGGCATAAGGCACAAAAGGCACATTTCTTCTCAAATGGGGATATGTTTCCTCCTAGACATGAGCGGGCTGGGGTGGCATACATACACACACACACACACACACACACACACACACACACACACACACACACACACATACACACACACCTTCAACTGTGACCCAAAAGCATCGACCTGGTACAGTTTCATTGTTTAACAGTAGAGGATATTGGTGCTCCAATGACAGCTGAGAGGTGGCTTTTCGCCAGCCTTAGCTGAGTCAACACTATATATACTGTTTATAATTGCAGCAGGACCTTGGATAAATCTGTCCCAGTCTCTGGGCCTCAGTTTCCTGCCATTTAAGGGAATGCTCAAGTGGGTTGTGGAGTACATACCTGCAACCCCAGCCCTAGGGAGGTTGAGGCAGGAAAATCAGGAGTTCAAGACCTGCCTGAGTTACTTAGTGAAACCCTGCCTCCATCCCCACCACCAAAGAGGAGAGATTACTTGAACTAAATGTTCTAGACAAACTCGAACAGCACAGAAGAATTAAGAGCCATCCCAGGGACTACACCTTCTGCCTCTCCCCTGCTTCTGCACACTCAGTGTGAACCCATGCACACACTGCTGGCACGCACACACCTCCACAGTGTGCCTAACAATGACTCCCTTCAGTGTTCACGTGGTTATAAAAAGATCTTCTGTGAAGCAGTAGCCCGCATCCTTCCTGCCGTAGGCGCGAACGCCTCCTTCCCACCCACCTTCAGGCCTGCTTCGGTAGCTTTGTCCAAGGGACTGCCAGTTTGGGATACAGTGATGACAGGTGCGGCTGTGAATCATCCAGCCCCACAGTGTGGCGCCAGGGACCCAGGAAAGGCATTCAAACCCGCTCCTTTCCTCTCCCAGGGCGCCCTCTGCCGGCGGACCTGTAAAAGACGGTTCTGGAGGAGACCATTCGAGCACACGCAGCTGCGGACCTGACCCCGGGAGTCCAAAGAGTGAAATCTATGCATCTGTGTTCTCCGCTCCACTTTGAGAGGAGCTAGAAAACTGCAGAGCCAGCGTGGAACCAAGACCACTAAACTAAACCGTCGTGGGGCAGGGAACTGCAGCCCCTTGTCTGTAAGGGGTCTAGAAAACACCCTGCCTCCTCCATCCCACACAGATTGCTAGTGGGTGAAGGTGTGTAGAGGGCATTATTCCCGAGGTTGGGTGGAGTATGAGCACCCGGAGTCGGCCCTGGCTGCTGATCTCTGGTGTGGTCAGAGACACTCCAGGCAGCCTAGGAAAGCCCTAGAAAAAGTAAGACCCTATTTCTTACCCACCACAGACCGAGAAGGGCAGGGCTCAGAAGCTTGCAGAAGCCTGCCCTTGGGTGGTGAACCAGGGTCTAGGGAGACCACAGCCAGTTCTCTCTGCTGGCAAGCTCTGTTGTGGAGAATGAGGGCATTGCCCTGCACCACAGGTGAAGATCCTCCCTGCCTACATCCCCAGCTTCTGTAAGTGCTATGTGGGCAGCATGTCGCCAGAGCAGGGGCCCTGGCAAAGGCAAATGGCCCCAAGATGAAATTCGCCATGTGTAGGCTGAATCCTTTCAGGGAATCAAGGGGTTTTCAGAAGGAGATAGGATGGGACCACAGGTTCCTTTTCAAACCCATTTAGAGGTGAAGTACCAGCACCACATGCCATGACCATGTTTGAGGGCCACAGTTGCTCCCTGGGCAGCATGAGAGAGCCTCATGCTTCTTTCTTGGCCCTCACTGAGGCTTTAACAGGCCAGGGCTCAAGATAGAGGCCGTGAGAATTGGGAAGGAAAGGTTGTGTTGTAGAGATGTGTGGAGGGTGGTGGTTTGAGCACAAGCAGAGACATCTACTCCAGGCTTTTCCTGTGAGACCTGAGTCCAGGAAGAAGCGTCTCCACGGTGCCCTGTTTCCCCAGCAGCTGCACCAGGCCTCTGATCCGGCTGCCCCACCAGGTGGAGGAACCAGGTCTGAAGCTCTGCTCTGCTCTGCTGTTCCCGCTGGACTCGGCTCCACGCCCTGGCCTTTGGGAGGAGTGGGGCTGGTTCCTGTGGGACAGCAAGGATGTGCACCAAAGGTTTGACCCAGAAAATGGAAGCCTGAGCACTGGAGGGAGCGGCTCAAAGCCCTTCGTGCTCCTGCTGTGATCTGAGGTCCCGCCGATCTGTTGCCCCAGGGGAACCACTCAGCTCCTGCAACCATCAGCCTCCCCAAACCCACAAATTTGTAAAGAAGTACACACACTCGCCATAAGACATTCCAACACTGACACATAAGGCCAGCTAATTTGGATTCCGGAGTCCTCTCCAAGGGTCTTCTCCAAATTAAAGGGTCCTGTGGGGTTCCGATCCTGAACCCCTGGGGTGGACATCAGAGAGGGTTTTTTTTTTTGTTTGTTTGTTTGCTTTTTAGCTATTCCTATTTTTAAACCTGTCTCCTAAAATCACTTGTCCCTTCTGTGTCTGCCCTCACTCCAATGCATCCTCTTATCAACTACCACCTGCTAATGACAAAGAGAACCAAGAGCTTGTTGTTTTCTAGACTATTCCTCAAGTAAGTGGCTGTGTTTGACTTGAGTTTCTGCTATGCCGACTTCGTTTCTTTGGCCAGGACTGGATAGGATCTGGAAAGTCTGGTCTCTGCACTCGGGTGGAAGTGTGGGGCTAGCCAAGGACTCCACGACAGCCATGGTTTTCCGGTTTACCTGGAGGAGCCTGCAGCAGTCTCCTCTCTCACCTGGCCTAGGCATGTGGTTCACGGGCAGAGTCCCACCTCCACTATTGGGCTCACCACTGACCGCACCACCCACAGAACACAGAAGCCCCAAATTCCTTCCTAATGCTTGGCAAGGATCTGGAAACCGGGTGGGCAAAGGCCACCGGCGTTTAGTGTCAAAGGAGAGCTCTAGGAACCCAGGGATTTGCACTCAAGTCTTGCATATCTGAACATCTAGAGCATTCAGATCCCGGAATCCCGTGGCCACCACCATGAACCACGCAAGGGCCGGGTGTCAGAGCTGGGCTTAGTGTAAGGGCTCTGGGCTGGTGTTTGTAAACACTGAACGAAATCAGGAGAGCTGAATGAAGACAAAGCGACTTCCCTCGACTCATTTAGAGAACTCTCCCCTTAGCAAACACTTTCATTTTCAGAGCTGCTCGTGGTTGTCCGCAGGTCTGGAAAATCGCTGTGCATCTGGACGAATTCCACCCTGGGAAAAGTCCTGGGAACAGGCGCCAGGCACACAGAAAGCACAGACGTCGTCGGCGAGAATGTATGGGTGGAAAAGAAGCGTACCCCCAGGACGCCAACCGGCTACTTGCGGCTTACTCTCCCGCCTTCGTGTGAACCTAAAATGCATAGCTGTTAGCTTCAGCTTTTGTGCCTCCTGGGAGGCAAGCACGAATGTATTGGCAGGGCAGGCTATCCCTTCCCACCTCCGTACATCCTGAACCCTTAGATGCGGATGCAAGCTTACTTTTTCGGTGCAGCCGGGTTCCTGGAAGCTCCACTCCACCCCATCCCTCGCAACTGGCCTGGGTGTTTGCAAATTGTGTTATCCGGATTCTTATATTCTCCATCACAAATGCCCAAGACTTAAAACCCAGATCAAAATATGACGCCTGAGCGGGAAAAAGTGGGGGATATGACAGTACGGTGAGGCACCAAAGTTGGTAGGAATATTTATCGGACATCTCGGACCTCTGCTTCCAGTATTTTGCCCAGTGTCCGGGGAAACCCATTGGGCAGCGTGTCTGCGGGTTTATGCAAGTACGACTTGCAAAGCCCCTGTGGCAGACGCAGAGCGGTGCTGACTTTTCCTATCAATGGGAGAGACGCAGGCTATTGACCCAGCGGCCTCCTCCTCTCGGCCTATTGTCGCGGCTCAATCACGCACTTACCGGAAGAAAAGCGAGTTTATTTTAGCTTGGAGGAGCCTCGTGTTGTGAGTGTGTGTGTGTGTGTGTGTGTGTGTGTGTGTGTGTGTGTGTGTGTGTGTGAAGGGTGGGGGAAATTCTGCAACCAGGACTGTGCAGATGGGTTGAGGATAGACACTTTCAGAAAAGGACCAATTTCCCTTTCACAATGAGCGCTAAGTACCTGACAAATGGGGCTGGTGTTTATTCATGAGCAGGTACTTTGGAGATGGCGATTAGAACAGCCGCCCGCGCTGCCTAGCCAAGGTACTTAAAGCCGGGCAGGTGCAGCTCGGCGCGCGGCCCCAGCGCACAAAGCCCGCGGCCGCCGCGGCACGGAGAGGGGGCGGGATGCGGGGCGCGCGGGCCCGGAGGGCGCGCCGAGCGCAGGCACCTTAGCCCTTTGTTCCTCTTCTGGAGCCAAGGCCACATCACAGAGGGGCGCCCCGGGAAAACCTCCCCTCTAATTACCGGGAATTTCCCTCCGACCCTCCTCTGGGAGCCCAGCCGAGCAGCTTTCGGGCTGGAGGCCGCCGAGGCTCGTGG